TTTCCCTCTTTTTCAATCGTAATACTCTCGATCATGAACTTTGCATCATCATTTTCCATCAAAGTCCAATCGATCATGGTCCATTCGGAAAAAACTTGAACTCCGCTTTGTAAAATGGCATTTGTCACCACTTTGTCTATCTTAGATAGACAAACACAAATATTACCTATCGTAATATCTCTTTTTTATCGTAATAGTATACGAATTATTTTATCGCGATATATAATTAATCATACTTCGTAATCGTGAAAGAAAGTTTGATCGTGCGTTTTGCAGGACTTGAAAGAGCTCGGCTCAATCAACGTGATCCACGAAGACTTTACCCCGAGCTTGATTAAACCACCAAGTGTACAGTAACAATCGATATTACGTCCGTAAAGAAATATCGCTTCTGTAGAGTGTTAAATATTCAAGCAATGTATTAAAACAATATAAAGTAACAATTTTACTGATCGCTGCACCTACTCTTTTCTTTGAAATCCCCTGTTAACCATCGAATCTTTCTGAAGCAAATGGAAGCTTCCGTATCGTTATTTACGGTCAGACAATTCCATGGCATTTGGTCTTGTACCTTGTTTCTTCTTGAAAAATAAACACAACGTGTAACGGATTGCAATATATATGTATTATACATATACTATATTATAAACAATCTTTACTTTTGCTTTTGCATTTTCATTTTCTCCCATAATGTCGAGTTCTGATACTGTAAGCCGCACGTTAAAACCAAATAATCGTACGCGAAATTTCCTTGATTCATCACAGTCACATATTTCTCCCTCCTAACGTAAGAAAATTCAAATCGATTGTCATCTCGTAAACATTGCTGGATTAACTCGAATTATTAAAATTTTTGATGGAAATATCGTATATCTATCAATATATGAAAGGCCACCTGTTGATCGCTGCCATAGTTCCGTAGATGATGTTAAGCCAAGTCTGTGCGACTACACAGCGACGATATCCCGAGTGAAACCTTCCTCGGAATGGAAGCAAGTACTCGCAGCAATCTGAACGACTCGATTCGTTATCAAATGGTATACCATGCGGCGATATTAACGTAAGGTTTGTCAATTGAGTATAACGCTGCGTTAATCTACAGAATTCAATATTGAGAATAGTTAGGAGAGAAAACGCATATATTATATCTACTTTTGAAACGTTATATTATCATACAAAAAACTATACATTTGGTAAGCTTCGTATCATAAACACGCAATATACCGCAGGTGTGTTATAGTTGAAAACATTTTACCGTAAAGCCAGATACTCCGCGAAAGCAATTCCGCAGTCCGATGCTCCAACGACAACGATCCTCGTATCGATAATTGTACGTAGCATCATTGCTAATCTCGGCGACGTCATAAATAGAGAAAATTCATCGTTCGCAACATCATTTCTTTCACCTTTTGTATTATTTTCACAACTATTGGAGTTTTCCCGAACAATGATCGGGAATTCATATTCAGCTTGTCTACGAGGATCAACCGGAATCATATCGTTCAAACAGGATACCAAAGGATATATCCATGTCTACGAGTAACATATACGATGGTAATTAGGCTCTAATAATTTTCCGATTAAACAGTTTTAGCTTTCATTTGTAATATAATATATAATTATATAATATATGATATTATAGGTGCGGTCGGAGAAAAGCTGTCATTCTATCTCTATTGTTTATTAGACGTAAAACAAGGATAGAATGATATAAATAGAACTAATAACGTCTCCCCTTTCGCACCATAGATCTTAGGACCGTATGTGAGAAACACAACCTATAGAAATCAATGCCTAAACAGTCTAGCTGAATCTTAAGTGCTTGTATGATTCTGTATAAATTTATATACCTACTATGTATATAATCCTTTAAAATGCGCGTCGAAATGATTTTTTATATAATATATAATTTTGTGGGATAATGAGATGAAAAAATTCGGTGCTCTTACTTACTAGAAACACAACTATTGTTATTGCGTATACTATTGTTACTGCTTACCAATACGGTCTCATCTTTGTGATGAAGCCGATAAAATATTACCGTTAACTCGCTTAAACGTGCGATCTCACGGAAGAAGAAGCGATGGTAAGCGGAAAAAATTGGCATAAGAACAAAATGCAAGAGACGTCCGTAATCATTTTGAGGAATACTCTGAACAGACACGTAATCCTCTATATGGTAATGATTCGTAATGAAATTTACCTGCCTTTCGGCGCTACAACATAAAATAAGGGAAACACATTTGAATATTTGAATATCTTTCACGATATAAGAGCTACAAGGGAATACGTAATAACCACAGTATAGCGAGCCCCAGTATTGTATCGTTACTTTCAAAGACGAAACAATCACGTTGTACAGCCTGTAGAGGATCCATGGCAAAATCAAAATCAACCAAGACCTCATGTTTTGTTGATGTAGTGAACAAGAGTCTCTCTATAGCTTCACGGTCTTGTGTTCGGGCACGGCGACACGTCATCTCCTCGCAAACAACCGTTCGGTGTAGAACGTACAGCGTCATAGGGAAATCTCTATTACATCTCAACGGTACGCGCTGCATTTTCATTTTTTATTTTTCTTATTATTGATTGTGAGATTAAAAAGAGAAGTGCTCCTAAAGTTCCTTTTTTCTTATACTGGGTGCCCCGAATTTAAATGGCTAAACTTCGGGAACGTGTATGTAGAGGAGATCGATAAACTAAGAAAAAAAAGTTCTTTAGAAATATGCTCGTTTTTGCTTCGTTTTGGATAAAATCGCAAAAAAGGCAAAACGTAGTTTTCATTTTTGCACTTATTTATTACTTATTTATTCACACTTATTTATTCACTTTGTCTTGTCACTTGCTTAATGCAGGTTATTCAAAATGTTGGCCTCTTGCAGCAATACACGCATTGCATCTTGTACGGACAGTTCGTGTTGCGGTCAAACATTAATCTGGTCAATGTAATGACTGCATTCAGCAGAGAAAATTAATCAGTTAACGCTTAGTGATTCTTTAATACGATTGGTTCCTACACTTAGATTTTGCGAAGAACTAAAGACAAGAACCAATCATATTAAAGAATCACTAAGCGCTAACTGATTAATTTTCTCTGCTGAACGTAGCCATTGACTCGCCACGCCGATCTGGCGCTCTTCTGTCTGGAAATCGGCGCGCATACTCTCGCATTGCCTCTGCATATATTATCCCTCAAGTCGTACGAAAATAATAATGTTCCGTCTTGTAAACAATAATATTCCGAAAATTACGTTTTATCACTTTTTGTGATTTTCTTCAAAACGAAGGAAGAACAAGCATATCCCTAAAAGACTTTTTCTTAGTTTGTCGATTTCCTAGACGCTCTCGAAGTTTGGCCATTTAAAATTGGGACACTCTGTACACTCAAGTAATCGAAATATCTCATTAGTTAATTTACAATACCACAAAATGTTGAAGGAATTGATAGCACGGATGTGAGAAAGGAAGAAGAGTTGCGCAGTACTCTAAATGCGGGAAGCAATCGAAAGCAGCTTCCAAGAAATCGTGGGACCAGTGAGGCCTCATTTCATCGCGCGTCGCAAACATCTCCAAAATGAAGGCATTTATTTCGCTATCCGGCGTCGGAAAAACTTGGTGAACGAATCGAGATTGCATCGTTTCGTTACGTCCAGCACAAACGGGCAGATCATTTTCCCGCGATTTTTTCAAACCATTGTATGGCGTTAACTCAAAATTCTCGTTAAGCAGATCGATGTCGATCATAGCATTGAGACACATGACACCCACTGCCGAGCCGTTGGTATTCTCTCCGATGATCAATTGATGACAACTGCTTGGATGACGAATCATCTCACTAATATAATACTCTCCATAAAGCTCCTTTAAATGTGTACCCTCACCGTCGACAATCGCAATCACGTCGTCGTTATCCTCCTCTCTGTATATATCGTCGTACGATACCGAGTTGTATAGATGTTTGGAAAGAAATTTCGGAAAGTATCAAATGAAATCGACTCACACGACTCTCCGTACTTTCAACTTTGGACGTAATCGATGTCGATCAGTCAGATAGAGAAATTGCAGCGCGACGTCTCGCACGGCAGTTTTGGCCAAGACTTTAGTCATCTCTCGCTCGAACACGCTCAAATGTACTAGGGAACACAAGTCAAGATATGAGGCCTGCAGTGAAATTCTGTATTTTATATGGTAAAAAAGCTGCGCAACTGTCGGTATGAACTCATAACGACTGCATAACGAGTTACAGAATTCCACTGGGCCTCTATTCTTGAAAAGAAACGTATACGAAAGTCTAGAGAAATACCACAGTATACGTTACGTATACCATAGTATTTTTCTAGAATTTCGTATACGTTTCTTTTCAAGAATAGAGGCCCTGTTCTTTTTAGCTAAACTTCTTGCACGGTTCATCTTTTCTCTTTTTCTCTCCACGTTTGAGAGAAAAAGAAGAAAGATGTGCAAAAACTTTAGCTAAAAAGAACAGACATGGGTACTTATCATGGAAAAAGTCGGAATGGATTCCGATCGGGGAATTATTCCGTTTTCCCCAGAAAACACAATAGAAATCTAGGGAATAATTGAATAATTCCGATCGGAATCCATTTCGACTTTGTTCCATGATAGATATCCTATGCCCGTATTCACAGTAAGGCCTTATATTTAAGGCTTCCTTAAATTTATCTTCAGATACTCTACGAATTATTTCATTGGCTACTGAGCTAAAGATAAATTTAAGGAAGCCTTAAGTACAAGGTCTGACTATGAATACGGGCACAGGTCTCTCTATTTCGATGTAAAAAATTTGAGGCAGAATCGATGGATGACTTGATAAAAAAACCATCACCTGATTCAACTCGGGGAGGTATCACGAGAACCATGTATTGGCAATAGGTAGTGTTGTCGAACACCGCAGCCAATAGCTCTCCAAGGAACTCGTTCGAGTAACGCTCATCCCATACGAGCAAATGTACGAACATTGTGTTCCTTTCCGTGGCAGCGGGAATCCTTTTTGAAAAATGCTAATCTCATAAACTCGCCTAGCATATATAAGACACCGACTCGTATCGTAAAGTCATATTAACTTTACTACGATCGACGCAAACAGAAGATTACCCGTAAATTGTTTTTAACCAGGTCAACCAATCATCCGGCGACACGGACGGTATATTGGGGTAATTGCAGAGGCATATCCCCGAAATGACGTCACGTCTCTCGTTGTGTTGGACCACTGAGAGGCAGGAAGTCTCGCTGCAAATTTTAACGGTACATTAAGATGCACGCGTACAGGAGGAAGCGCACCGATTTACGATTTAATATAATATTGCTGACATTATATGTTAATATTATATATTATATTAATATATATATGCATTATATATAATGAGAGCAAGCTCGAGTGCACGTATAAAGTAACTGCATGTATGGCTGCAAGTACTAGAGTTGTTCCAATTTCACATTCCCGAAAATTTCATGAGTCGTCGGACATATCAGGAGCTCTAAATACGATAAATCCGAATGTTGAATGCGACGCGACCCCAAGATTTTGCTAGGCTCTTTTAACTCTTCGGACTCTCCGAGGTAAGTTGACATTTTGGAAGCTTCTTGTTGGCTCGTGACATGCGGACTTTGATGCGGATGACATATGCCGTTCGGCAATTTTCAATCGATCGCAAGTCGCAATCGATTATTCTCATCGAATAGCTTTCGATATATTACACTTTAAATGAGATATAAAGACTTTGTCTTTTTTTCATTTTACCAGTCATCCTAAAGCGTTTGCTCGTTATCGCGAACAGACCTAGCTATGTATAGCGACTGAACCGTTCGAACTCGGTTGATCGACGATTGCCAACGATCGGAGCGAGCTGTTTACGGGAAAGGAAGTCGAGAGATCAATCGGAATTACCATCTCGGATGTCAATTTAACGTGGGAAAAGTCTGTCGGATACCGTGTGCAGCTGACCGACTTGATACCCGCGCAAAAAGAAGGTCATAATGTATGTATGTTTGTAAGTGTGAAACTCTTTCAACGATCTAAACGGAGTTAGAGGCCAAGCTTCGCTTCCTCATCTCCTCTTAAATTGCCTCTCGCCTTTCGCCTTCTCTGCTTCTTTGGCTCTTGCATTAAAAGTAACAATCAAAGACACAGTCGCCGCGCAAGTGTCACGTCAAACGTATAATGTATGTACAACCGAACGATTCACAGCAAAGACGAGAAATCCATTTGATCGATTATTCATCTACCTTTTGGATTTGCTTGGCTTTATTATTGACCGATATCTACAGTTATAGACGATTATGGATGCAATCGCGATAACGGATACGATGCATCGTATCGGCCAAGCACAGGCTCGAAGAAAAGAAAGAAAAATTGGTACGAGCACTCTCTTTACAATTGTAAATAACGGAAGTTATTTACAATGCGAATCGTACGGTATGCGTATAATTATACGTAAGTGTAGTACAGCGAACATGCTACTCGAGTGCGGACATAACGCGACATTACGCGACGACATGCGGAAATTGATAATCGACGGACGATCGTCACGGTACATTGTCACGTCTTCAACGTCATTTTTTCCGAACCGAATCATTCAGTCGAGTTGATACCATTTCAGACACCTTTCCTTTCTTTCATTCCTGCACATGAATCACTCCAATCTAAACTTTGCATCGAACCGAACCACGATATGTATATATATACTCAAGCAGTTACGATAACGTTAAAATGACATTAAAATGAATCAGAAATGATATTGAAAAACGACTTTTAATGATCATTTTGAAGTCATTTTGACATCATTTTGATACATAATGATTTGTTGTTCTGTTTAGGTATTTAATATTAGCTATAATTCGATTTTCGAAAACTTGAACTGTGTAAAATTATACAGTAGAAGGAGTCAGCCAATGACGGAAGATTCGAGTTTTACTAAACAAGTTCTATAATTCTATACGGAAATAATAAATCGATTTTTTCTCATTGGTTGCCAGGGACGTTTTACCAAATCGCATCGATTCCCGACCACATCTTTGACTCGCGGTGGTTCCGAAGGTATTAAGATAATGACTTTCGTCATGCAACATGAAATCACGATCGATACCAAATAGCTAAGGTGCGTCTCTCGATTCTACGAAGATGGAAAATGTTCGACTATTTCATGTTGAACAAGGATAGATCTAGAAAAATACTTCCCCCCCCTCTCTCTCTCATTTTCTAAACGAATTGAAATAAAATTTCGCTCGAGAACAGTTAGCATCAAGAAAAGCCTTCACGATCGACGTAACTTTTCTCTCTCGGCGCAGTAAAACGACGAGGCGCAATAATCATCAGGTGATTTAATTAGCGAGAAAGTCTGAAATCGCGAGACAGCCATCTCAGTAGCTCACGAACTACTCTTAACTGAGAGATCAAGCGGTTAATCGTGGGACACTCGTCGCAAGAAAAGAAACGGCGCAATAACACTTTGTAGGGCGACGCGCGAGGACGCTTTTATTAATAACCACCCACGAAATAAAGAAATGAACGCAAAGATGCTGCAATGATCTTTGGAGGTCTCGTCACTCCGTTGACGTTAAATAGCAATATTGTTATATAATCAAAATATTGAAAACGTAAAGCGGATTCGTTTAAATTGACATTGCTGGTTGTGCTCGAGTCTTTTTGTGTATACATAATTATATCTAATTAATTTGAAATCTCAAAAATGGTAAAATGTAATAAAACCTTCTATAGGTTAACAGTAACTATATATATAGTTACTGTTATTATTATTATAGCAGTAATAATCATAATTATAGTAATATATAATTATAGTTACAAATACCAAACATTTTTCTCTCTGTGTATGTATATAGAGAGAAGCTATATAGAGATATCCCAAGGAGATCAACAAGAAAATCAAAATAATGTCAATTTGACGTCATATTGATGAATTTATGTCATTTTTTGGTAATGATGATAAATCTCGATCTCAAATGATCTAAGAATGACTTTATATATAAATGACTTCATATGTATACAGGGTGATCCGAAATTCCCGCATTCGAAATATAAAGTCATTCTTAGATCGTCTGAGATCGAGATTTATCATGACTAAAAATGACATAAATTCGTCAATATGACGTCAGATTGACATTATTTTGATTTTTTGGTTCTCCTTGAGATAGATCGAGATCTTTGAAAAGATGTCAGAACGATCGAGAGTGCAGTTCTGACATCAGCTGCTAAGTCGCAATTAGCATGCGCGGGCGATAATCATTCCGGTATGCAAATTCGTGAGATAATGCCGTTCATTTTCATTTTGGTTGCTCAAATATCGATCGGTATGCCGATTGACGATACGATAGCACGTAGCAAACGCGTTAGTGTCATTCTCGCCGCGTTGCACTCGTATAGAGGCCCGCTTTCCTTTAGATAGAAATTGATAGGAACGTTATAAAAAAATGGCCCTCCTTGCGGATAAGAAAATAAAAAAGAGTTCTTAGGTTTCCATCGTCTCGCTGTTCCCATTTTTTTCCGACTACAACGATGGCGCGCGTGAAACTTAATATTACGCTCATTCAAACGGAAAACGAATTGAGGAGAACTCGACATGACGAAGCTGATTTATGCCCGTTTCTACCAACGCAATTTAATTTTAATCTTGATTCAATTAACTCTTTACTTTTGTCTAATTCTAAGAATTGTTAGATGAAGATAAAGAGTAATTAAATTGAAACGAGATTAAACTAAAGTTAATCTATATTGTTAGAAACGAGCATTAATCGGTATCTTTATCAATATAAATATATCATTGGAAAGATACGACTATATTCTTTCTGTACATACATTGTGTGCAATCTCGGCACTATTTCGCGCACGACTTGTATTCAAAAACGGTAAACGACAGAAAACCGCTGTGACCTGAACAACCCAGCAAACGAGAATGGATTGAAATGGATTCAGATTTTTAGAAATATGGATTCACGAATATTAAAATAAATGCTTTTCAATCCTGAATGTATTTTTATTCATTTATAGGAACTGCACGGAGCATATCTCTATACCTTTCAATCTAAAAATAATATCAGCTTTTTCTGTGCATTGTGAATACTGTTCAATTTAAAATTTTGAATAGGAAATGCAGTTTTTCAATCCAATTGCATCCAATTGAATCTAATTGAATCCAATTGAATCCAATTAAATCCAAAAAAAGTATTCGCTATTTAAAATACGCATTCGGATAGAAAAAAATTTTAATCCATTTTCATCCATTCTCGTTTACTGGGAATATATCTTTGCTTTAAAGTCTTCTACGATTATTCTTTCTCGACGTGCAAACGTGTTGAATCATCAATCGACAATCGAACAACAGCAAGTGGCCAATATTTTCGGAAATAATTCGCTGAATATCATAGAAATCACCGCATATAATTTTCCGCGTACACGGTCGAAATATAATAAACGCGCGTGAAACATATTCCATCAAACTTGTCGGATTCGTATAGCTTTATTCGCGAAAACTCAAATTTCTTTTCCGTTCACTGATTCTTTGGATAATTCGTTTGATAAACTTGCCGAGTGCAAAACGCTCGTCAGTGTAAATTCGAGTAAACAGAACATCAAGTAATTCTAGCAAAAATGTAAAAGTTGTAGTAAAGCAATTACAACATACCTGTCTTATCTGAGACGATTTAGACACGCTAATGACGTTAAAAGACGCAGGAGAGATTTCAAGAGAGATTGGCTTACCGAATGTTGTCCGAGTTAACCGGAAAACGAATAGAGAACCAACAGAGAACGAATGGAGAACGGAATACCGTATCCAACGACGGTACGCACGCGACTGACTTTCAGCTAAATACATCATGATGTAAAACACAAGGCATGTAGAGGGAGGTGAAACTGTTTTCTACATAACACACCCGCGCGCGCGCACGTAGAAAATAGACTATATACATATATATTGTTTTAAAATATTGGCAACGCGATTTTATACGCGCACAGTGCCAAGCAATATATGTCTAAAAGATATAGATGACGATTGTGCATATAGAAATTCGTTATATCGTATATCAGAAACGTTGATCCTCTCTTGCCTTGTACAACAAAATATATTTTTTATTCATATATTTTTTACAAAATATATTATTAGAATTTCAAAACAAGATGTATATATAATTTTAGATTAGTTTTCACAAATACTATTTTTACACATTCGACATATAGGAAATGTATTGTCAGTCTGAAATATCCAGTAATACTCTCTCCCTCTCTGTCTCTCTCTCTCTCTCTCCCTTCTTTTTTAACTAGCATGTAGTAATTAAAAGGATAACGATCAAATTTTGCAGTTTATTACAGTGTAAAATACACGTTACAATTTTCAAGAATATAAACAATTTCTGTAGACTCGAATTCTTAAAATAAAAATAATAATAACACAATCCGTAAAGGCCATACGAGTCACGGGCTGATGAAGGTGCCAACGATTAATTTCAATCTTAATTAATCATAAATGTGTAGAATCCTCTTTATTGAGCGTTTCGACTCACTTTGGAGTCCTCCTCAGCAATACATATGTGTAATTAGTATGTTGAGTATTCCGTCAACATGAGTCACTAAGCCCGTGACTCGTATGGCCTTTACGGATTGTGTTATTATTATTTCAAGAATATGTATTTTCCTGCGAATTTAGCGGGAAGTTAACGAGTCTAGAGTAGAGTCCTAGTCTACATTCGTTTACGCAGCGGTTAGCGCAGAGAGTATCATTTAATCTTTGTTTAACATTTGGTGAACAACAAGGCTAAAATAATACTTCTGCGCTAATCGCTGCGTAAACGAATGCACCACTATATAGTATATGAGAGAAGCGACATCGGCGTCGCGATTTCTGATTGGTGATACCCCCACTTAATTAAAGCAGCCATATTGAGCCCGCAGTGGAAAGCTATACATCACATATGCCCCTTTTTTACAGTCAAGAAGACTAGAACCAAGAAGACTAGAACTAAGGAGGATCAACTCGCGTGGTGGGGGTGAGTCAAAAAACGTCCGCGGCTATTCACACGATGTGCAGCGGCACTGCGCATTGTGTGAAAGTTCGATATAAGAGCGACAAAGTGACGATTATAGAACGATAGAGCGACAACTATATAGAGCGACAGAGAGGACTAATAAGCGCAAGAGTGGGGGAAGTTATCCGTCGCCTCTTTTTGCCTCCCCCCCACTACCGCTATTGGCACGAATTGATCCTCCTTAGTTCTAGTCTTCTTGTTTACAGCTAAACAAGGTCCATACGAGTTAGCCCGGATCCTCATACGGGCAACAACGCCCGTAAAATTTACCCCCACAAAAAATTAATTTGAAGTTTCTTTAGTTTAGACTATGTATCTAGTCTTTTAATTATTATATATTCAATATATGATAATTAAAAGAAACAATATTACATATTAATATATTACATTGTAACATCAAATGAAAATATGTGTGAGTTAAATAAAGCATTTTGAATTTAATAACTAAAGGCTAAATGCTTTTACATCAAATTATTTTATTTTTATAATTTTTTTAAAATTACCATTTTATCAGCTTCTAAAAATTACTGATTAATTTACCGTAATTTACCGAATAAATTACGTAAAATTTGGTAATTTTCATCTCTAATTCTTCTAGATCTAAAATTCTGATTAGATGATCTAGAAGAATACACCAATAACAGCTAGCGTTAACTTAATTGTTGAATCCGCTGAATGCGCCCAATGAGTTTCTATCGTTAAAAAATGCTTTCAATAAAATCGCTTTTTTCCGTCCCCTTTTTAAAAATTACTAAAAAATATAAAGTTTATAGGAAAACGTTAATTTTTCGATGAAAAGTATAACTGATGAGGATCGTAGGATTCATAGACTGAAAAAGTTATCAAATTTTTAAAAATATAATTTTATTCAACGTACTCTAAACATGCTGTAAATTAACTTACAGAATCTCTTGGTAAATTGATACGAATCTCTTAATAAAGAATCATATAAGAGTCATTAATAATTAAATACGTAATAAGGTAAATCGGACATTTTAGTTTTCTTATTGATCTTTCATATATAAAAAAAGATCTTCGCATATAATAGATATAATGTATAGTAGATATAATGTATAGAAAAATATTATCTACATATATTCAATTGAAAGAAACTTTATAATAAAAAAACAATGATATTCAATAGAATAGAAACAAGGAATAATTCATCAAAGTTGCAATTAAAATCAGAGAAATGTCATATTTTGTGTTCTTTCACTTTCAACATTATATATTCGTTATGTATATATATATATATATACAGTATATATACATACATATATATACATATACATATAAAATCTCATTATATAAAGTGGATTAAAGTTGTCTCATCTACTATACATTTCCGTATAAATAAATGACCAAACTAAAATATCTTAATCCCTGCTTTCAAAAAATAATCTATTCGACATATCATTAACTGCAAATTATTCGCAAAACATTTACATCAAGTACAAGTTAACACAGAACAGAAGATTAAGTGACACGATTTTCTGTGTCAAAATTTTGAGCATATATTCAAGTTAATTACGAGACATTGTAGTTGCATTTTTATTTTTCATTAATAGTCATCTTGTGATTTTAGTTTACACAATAATATTTTTATTTTATAAACTGAAGAACAATTTAATAGAATTTTATTTCCAATTACAGTCAATTATAATCGATTTAGTAGAGACGAAAACTATCACTTACTTTCAAGTTTGAAGAGTACTAATTCGCTTCATTTTTCTTTATAATTACGGTATACTCAACGACATTAGTTAGGACTTGAATATACAAAACGAATCATTATTTCGGTCTAATTATAATGACACAAGTATCATAAAATGTTGTAAAATTAAAGTTTTAGACTGTCATTAAATTTTTTATAAGCCTAATAATGATGTCTTTCTCTTTGTCTCTCTCTCTCTCTCCCCCCCTCTCCCTATCTTCCTCTCTTTTGTTTTCTCCTTCTGCAACCTTCCCCTTTCATTTCATAGAAAACTAATATGTCAGTGTATCATTATTAAGAAATGGAAGCACATGGCATATACATGGAAGCTTGTATATATCATTACATCACGCTGTATACGACGATTGTAGCATAATAACGATCCAAAAATACATTCAATAGTGGACATCTATTGAATCGACAAATAGCTAAAATTTTGAAACTATACGCCAAGTACTTCCTTTGTACAGAACAATCGTCGCATGAAATTCTTTCTTTTTCTAAGAATAATTTTTGCAATTTGCTTATTTACAAGATTTTACAAGAAATTGGAGGAAAGACTCAAGTTCTTACATAATAATTTACAATGTAAATGATTTATAACTATTATATGTTGTCCGATAATCAAGTTGGGAGTAATGTATAATACAAATGAGCGAAATTTTCAAGCGAGATTCCACGAACGTTTCGGTGTTTCGCGATCAAAATTAGTATTAAAAAAATTTGTGTCTATCTACATCATTATATCACAAAATGCGCGTGAAGAGTCACGTCATTTCACCTGTCTTCATTCAAACGTTCGGTCAACTGTCTATGATGAGCTTGTATATTCGGATTCTGTCCAGTTTGCACAATTGCATCATCTTCAACATCGTTTTCTTCAATGAGAGCTGGGTCTCTGTTTTCGACACTTTCAGCTTTATACAGTATGTCGTGGCAAAGAGGGCATCGGTCTTGAACGTATAACCATTTCCGCAAACATACACCATGGAAATAATGATTGCATTGGGTGATCTTGGCGCTTTGCATTTCCTGATAGCAAATTGCGCAAACGTCGTCTAACTGTTCAAGTTGTTCGGTTTTTGCTTCCGGTAAAGAATTGATCTTATTCACAGCCGTCCGGCGTTTCATAAAAACGCTCCATCCAGCCTTCGCTTCGCACCAGATATTAAAGTAAGCGTGTATACACATCATGACGGCGCGAATAGCTCCACCAGACTCGAAGATCAATATCCAGAAACCATTAAAGAACAATATAATACCGAAAGCAAATTCCACAGTATTGCCAAATGATCTTATTATGTACACGCAATCGTCAAATTGTTCCCAGAATTCGCTTCTGTACGCGTCGATCAGAAACAATGAATAAATTGCTAGCGAAACCAGTACTTTGACTATTACCTCGATACTAAAGACCGACACAGCCAATAACCATGTACTCACGGTGAAATGGGACCAGAGGAATATGAGTAACGAAACCGGGAAGAATATTAGAAAAGCACAAACCGCCAAAGCCCGCAAATGTCTATGTAGTGCCGGATTATGAGAAGCACTGAGCGACATCAACAATGGATTCACTATATTGTGCACAAAATGTAAAATCGCCGTGAATAATAGGCAGAAATTACGATATAGTCGTACTAAACGCTTCTCTCTATCGAGACTCGTCAATCCGGTTTGTAGGGCAAGAATGTAGAATAGTATAGCGGACACTGTGCCGATACTCTTCTCATCTTCGTCTTCCGTCAATAATACCCATTGGAAGAAATAGCCGATATAGTGGCAGATGAACGAGATTATGCTAGTCATACCAAGAACAGCTGTCAACGTCTCGCACCCATTTACCATCAGCGTTCTGATCATGACGTAATAATTAAATGTTTCCTCGCCATAGTGATTCCCAAGGATTTGAACGACTTGTTCTCCCACACGCAGCATCCAAAATATGCGAAGTACGCACGGCACGTTCAGACGTATCCATTCTCTTTCCGCGAAAGCGGATAAACCATAATTGATCATATAGTTGCGTGTGCGTTGATAGCTCATGTAGATTGTTTTTAACATGGA